GAGGAATTAATTTCACATTAGAACACCTAGATATATGGTTCTAGAGCACCCTATCTGTTCCTACCAAGGTGCTACACCTATTCCCTTCTAGAAACCCCAATCCCTGCCGTGTATTCCTTATCCCTTTCCCCCTTGGTTTCTGAAAGCATTAACCCTTTCCTCCTAGGATTGTGCAATCCTTTTCCCTTCAAAAATTGTGCATTCCCTAGCCCTATAAATATAAGTGTTTGCCACACCATTCAATCTATCCATTCACTCATTCATTCATTCATTCATTCATTCATTCATACATTCAGCCATCAAACACCATAATTCACACCACATCACCCTAGTGTCGCAAGCAAGGAAGGAAGGAGAAGAGGACTTGTGCAATCTACCATACAAGGGAGTGCCGTGCATGCCATTGGAGTGTGGAGCGTTTCTGGGTTCTTTCTATCCTTAGTTTTAGTTTGACGTTTGTTTTAATTTGGTTTTCAATTATGATGAACATGTGGAACTAATTTCTTTTTAGTTAGAGGTGAATTCGAAGCCATGATTATATGTTTTATATGAATTGATTACATCCAATTACTGTTTCTTGAGTCTTGAATGTGATTTTCTTATCTAAGTAATAAAAACTTGTTTATGTATGTTGGTTGAGGGTTGACACTTAATTTGCATACATGAATTTGATGCTAAAGTATAAGGGAGTTTCACGTAATAGTTATTCACTTATATTCACAAGTAGTGGAGGTTACTAGTCACAATCGTGTTAAGTGAATCCTTTGAAGGGAAAATATGAGATTTATGTGGGATTTCTAGTGACTAGCATGCATATACAATTCAAAATTTATATACGAAAGCAACGGAAGCATGTCATACATTTTATCAAAGCTATAGTCATGCAAATCCCCTTCAAGATGCATAGGTTTATATAAGATGCATAAAAAACAATTTATTGAAGAACAAAGTTTAGGAGTAGTTTTATACCTCTTGATCTAGATCTAAGACCAAGGATTGACCACCTCCAAGCTCTTTGCTCCTTGAACTCCTTGAGCCTAGCCTCCCTCCTTGCCTCCTCCACTTTGTTGAGAATGAGTGCTCCTAGGTCCTCTTCAAGTTTCCAAAGATATGAAAACCTCTAAAGATCCTCACCCACTTTGTAATGAGAAAGATGAAGGGATTAACCAAAGGGTGATAAGATGATTAGCTAGAATACCCTTTGGTGGCCGGCCCTTTGAAGTTTGAGAGAGAATGAGTTTTTTTTTTCTTTTGTGTATGTTATGAACTACTTAACACACTCACACACACTTTCATTATTATGTTCCTTTTATTTCTTAAAGAAACAAGTCAACAATTGACTCACTCTCTCTCCCTTCTCATTTGGCCGGCCTTTGGTGTTTGGTTTGGGCTTTGGGCTTTTAATTATTTCAAGTCATCCAATGCTTGAATAAAAGCCCAATGGGTTTTGGCCCAATAGGCCGAATTAAACCCGAACGTTTCTTTAAGCCCAAAACGATCTTTATCGCTTTTATGATTTCTTTAGACTTTCTAAATTAATCAAAACACTTAATTAATCCAATTAATTATTTCCTTCATCCATTAGTTACTCACTACAAGAGTGTATCGGTGAACAATCTTTTAGGTTCTAATTAGCAAGGCAGTGAGGTGATTGGCACCAATCCAATTGATTATCCAATCACTTAGTGATTTAAAACTTACTTTTAATTCACCTTCCTTTTAATGACTACATTTAATCATCTAGAAGAACTCACAAGCCATGAATGACATCTAATCATATATCATGGCTACCCAAGCTAATGTAGAAGTTATTCGGAGAACCTATTCAATTGGAATTACAATGTAATTCGATCCTTCTCTAAAACAATACTCTCAATCACATTACTAGGGTATGGATTTATAATGTCAAACCCCTAATGTGATTATTCCTTCTTATACGATTCATTTGAGACGTATAGGAATGCTTTCCTTTATTACGCTCGATACTTCGGCCGAAGATTCCCGAATCATATCTTAGAGTATTCATCCTCTCTTATCGAGGATTAGAGATTCCTTGTTGCGCATTCACTTGCCTTCATGGCTAAGTGGCTTAACCCCAACGATGCCTTGGACACTCTCGAATGGAATGACTTTAACATAATCAAAGATTAAGTACTTAACCACAAGACAACGAGATGCCTCAGGTCAAAGGATTACTTACATTATTCCAACCATTAGAGTTACTTGCTTGACATGTGAGTAGACCTCCATGCAAGTACTCTCGTTCGATTGTGTTCAGTGAACTCATTCCCTTAATGAGCACCTACATGCTTGTCTTAGTGTCGCTACACGAATGGGATGAGACTTTCCATCCTTCCAATTGAAGCGGACATAGTATGTACCAGTCTATGGATTGTCAGTATCCCTCCGACAATCCTTATGACCAGGAACCTTTTTGGACATGATGGTTATGAGAAGAAGGTCTCTGTAACCTAACATCATTAGGTTACTTCTTCCATCGATCCATTGTCCATGGATTCACTATTTAGGACATATTTCGTTCATTGAGATAGTCCCAATTAGTATCTTTGCCTTCCGATGTATAAGAGTCATATATACATCAATTCATTGTCCTGAAAGGTTTCTTCCAAAGATTGACTTTCAGGGCATATTTCCAACAATCTCCCACTTGCACTAAAGTCAATCACTAGTGTATCTTATACATCCAACAATCTCCCTCTCTTATGCTCGTAGGTTAACTTGGTTATGTATTTAATCACCTTTTAATTTAAAAGGGATTTACTTATCAAATGTTTCTAAAACATTTTGATGATGTCTCTTTCTTGTGTTCGAATATTTTGATGAGACCTTGATTCCATGGCTTGAGCTATCGCCCCATTACGTCGTAGTATCCTACTAACGACCTTATGGTTTGGATTCAATCATTGGTTCTAAAAGAACCCCTTCCATTCAAAACACCTTTTGAAGCAGTTTCTAAAACAATATATCGATATATATATTTCGTTTGTATACTTTATACAAACTTTGCTCCAACCTTGAGACCATTGTAGTACGATACTAACAATACATTCATATGATTAGTACTTCATCCATTATGAAGTTCCATTTGTTAAAATGGGTTATTTTCACTTTGGTTCGTAACCTAAGTGAATGCACGCTTCCAAAGTCCCACTTTGAAGTTCCTTTCTTAAAGGCAATAATACTCTATCAGTTGCTTTGGTTCTGATCCTGGGATATAGTAATATCTTAAAGTGATAACCCATGGTCTTTCACTTTTGGATATCTACTCACAAGTCCATACATGTGTCCCTTTTGTGATTTTATGACACATATGAAAAAGATTTTCTATCATATAAGAAAATTTTATGATTTGAACCATGAGGTGACGAATTTGAATTGTCTTGTTGTTAAACTATATGTTGTGACTCATTTTGAAACTATTCCCTTTTGTTTCATCAACTTGTCCATATGCTTTGTTATTAGCTTGTTCTCGTAAAAGAGAATGATGGACAACTTCCAACATATAACCATTTTATGCTAGGTTGACGAAACCAACATTCAAAGACTATTCTTTAGAATGTTACACAACATAGATTTTTAACGTTTTGAAGAGCTTGAGTCTTTTAACAATTAAAATTTCAAACTCTTAATAATAGTCAAATACTATTATTATTTAGACAACTATAAACCAATCATATTCAAGTTTATATCCATTTTAACACCTCCCACTATTTCTTATGATTTTAATGAGAAATGATTTCATACATTCAAAAATGTATAAACGTGGAATGTACGAGTAGAGGACATTGTGTAGTAGCTTTAAAACCTTTCAAGCTCATCTGTTTCAACTTTCATTAAGTTGATGCCTTGTTATTAAGTGATTAAAATCTTTAAACTTTTTATAGATTTCGACACTTCTTTCTTGGTTTTAATCACTAACACACTTTAACATTTTAAAACAATTTTAAGAATGTCCAATTAGTTGTTCAAAACTACTAATTGAATCAAGAGTGACCTTGATTATTGTGTTTTAAGTGATAACCATAGAAAACGTTTTTCTTATTACTTATATCATTATAATGTGATATAAATCTTGTATCTCAACTAGGATACAACAAGACAATATTCAATTCATAACACTACTTTAAGGAAATAATATATTAGAAGGCATTCATCACATTACATTAATATGATAACACAAACATTCACAATGTTTAACTTAAAAGGAATTAGCTCTAAACATTTAGAGACTTATTTAAGTACCTTCAAACATTTAGGCATTAATAGTGGTCTTCCATCATATGAAGCCACATAATAAGTTCTTAACATAATAAGAAAGTTTAAAGACAATCTTTAAATGCCTAAACAAACTTCCCAAGTAGTAAGCAAAATCATGGTGACCGAACCCTTCTTCACTCTTTTATTTGCTTGTTCCTCTTCTACTTAGTTCCTCCACCTATATACAATTATACAAGTGATTAGCTCTTTATATCAAATATAAATATTTAGAAGATCTAACAATTAGAATTGAAGATGAGAACATAAACCATACCTTGTGGCTTGTCCTTAAGAGTTGCAAGGTAAAACCTGCAATTCCTCCTCCAATGCCCCTCCTTTCCACAGTGGTGGCAAGTCCCCTTGGGCTCCATTTCCTTTTTCTTTTTCTTCACTCCTCCTTTCGGTTTAGGAGTGGGAGACTTTATCTCCTTCCCCTTTCCTTTGCCATACGGCTTAGGATTGGAAGAGGATGGCTTGTTGTAGGCTACTGCAACAGTCCCTACAACGTTCTCTTTCATAGTCTTCTCAGCAGTTACTAACATGTTTAGTAACTCAGAGAGAGTACTATCTATTTTATTCATATTGTAGTTCATTACGAACTGTGAGAATGAATCAGAAAGAGAAGCCAATATAAAGTCCTGGGCCAATTCCCCGTCAAGTGGAGTACCTAGGTTCTCCAGTTGTTCAATGAATCCTATCATCTTCAGTGCATGTAGATGCACTGGAGCCCCTTTGACCATCTTGGTCTTCACAAGTTCACAAACAGTGTTAAAGCGACGGTTGCGCGTCCCTTCACCATATAACTCCGTAAGATGGAGTATTATGGAAAATGCACTGTCCATGCCCTCGTGCTGTCTCTGTAGCTCCTCATTCATGGAGGCCAACAGATAGCACTTGGCTTGTGTATCATCCTCAACGTGCTTGTCATACTTAGCACGTTCATCCTCTGTGGCCTCAGGGCCAAGAGGTATGTCAGGAAGAGGCTTATCAAGTACGTAAATAATCTTCTCCAACGTTAGGAGAATCTTGACATTACGATACCATGATGGGAAATTGTGCCCCTCTAGGCAATGTTTGTCGAGTATTTTCGCGAATGTGCTTCCAACCATATCTAAATACATAAACAATAAAATAAATTAGTTTGATTGTTGATTAAGTCACACGATTCGGGTCTTTAAACCGAATGACACCACCCACCATTTTTGGCAAATTCCATATCCCTCAAGATGGAATCCGGGAGATTTCAAAGAAAGCTCCTAGCAGGTTATAGGAGGCTCACTATTACCAAGCCCACCTCACGATGATACGATATCGGCTAGCAAAAATAATAATGAGAGGGTACACTTACCCATTTACAACTTTTGTAATTACCCATCTAGTTTGGCCTCTAGAGAATGTGGCCTCACGATGATACGATATCGGCACCATTGCACTTAGTTAAGTTATTCCCACCATGCTTAGTTCATGTAGGGGTTCAAGAATAACCTCACGATGATACGATGTTGGCTATCCTCGTTGCCTACACTTACCTCATCATATGTTCATGGACTCCTCCTGAGTGTAAGCATGCACTTTGTACTCCCCCATGATAGGGTGAAGCCGGTGTACAAGTCACAAACTATTGGAGCCCACCACGGTGGAAGGCCTACGAAGAAATGTTCAAAACATCTCTCGTTTATCAACTTAATATTCGTTTGTTGAGGGATTTTAAGGTCTCATCAATTTTATTTATTTAAACATATTCAAATAAATTGTCCTATTACAACTACTAGTCCAAAGTTAATGAAATTAGTAGCATATGATATCCCCACTATTCGTTTTCATAAAACAAATCAATATCAAAACATTTTTCAAAATATTGGAGATATATATAACTACTAATTGAAATCATTATAGTTTAGTAGCGTATGATACTCCCACTATTTGTTTTGAGAAAAACAAATCAATATCAAAAACGAATTTTTCAAATATTGGAAGTAACTACTACTACTACGGGTTTTGCAATCCTTTGAAATTGGACTTTATAGTTATCTTAGGCTCTTGGATGACCATGGACTTATTGGGTTATTGCAACAACGAGCCAACATTGTTGAATAAGATCTCGGGGAGGTTGTGTCAATTTAATTACGTGCTTTTCAATCCAATTAAAACATTTTCATTGAGCCATTAGAAATGAAAGACAATCATTCATTGCTTATTAGGGCGTTGGACCCATTTAATCTTGAATCTCATGTCAAAACCCTCTTTTAGTTATGTCTCCTTACCAATAGTTAAAGAAACTCTAGTCTAGCACTAGAGGGAATCAACTAACTAAAAGAGATTAAGAAGTAATAAGAATTACAAACCGATTTGTACAAATTCCTACAAATTACATATACTAAGAGGGAGAGATAGATTAATGTCGAAACGTGACAAGGTCCAATTGAAACAGTAATTAAAACACATTCCCAAGGTTCAAACAATTTGATTTTAGCGCCTTATCTCATAGCTCAATTATCGTTTAAGGCATAAGTCCATAGTCACCCATTTACTAATTACTCAATCATATTAAATAATCAAATGGAATGCAACATATAAACAATTAGATTTAGTGCATATGGGCATAATTCAATGATGAGTTTAAACATTAAATAAAATTAAAATCAAACATTTCAATTTTTAAATAGTAGGGGTCTAAATGCAAATATGAAAAAGTTAGGGGTCAAACCATAAATACTAAAAGTAATACCAAACTTTTCTATAAATTACAAAAACCCCACAAGTGGGAAATCCACTAGGGATGGCCGGCCAAATTAAGGGAAGTGGGTAGGTCTCACCCATCTTGCATTATTTCAACATAAAGAAGAAAAATATATCTTGTTTGCCACTTAATTTTGTTTTAAGGACTTTAAGAAAAAGAATGATTGAAATATATATCTAGACAATTCTAGGTATTAATTTAAATTTTGGTGTAGGCTATGGATGGTATGTACATCATCCATAACCACAAAACAATGCATGTAAAACCATTTTCACCAAAAACCAAACCATGAAGACCAAGAACAAAACCATGAACATATTTTCAAGATTTGTATGTTCTTGGTGATTTTTCAAACCCAAAAAACAAAAGTGACAAGATCACTACTTTCTAGCTTCAAAGTGTGTGTGTGAGGTTCAAAACAAAACACAAACACTAACAAAAAATCCCCATTTAGCCGAACCCCCTTTGAAGAACAAAACTCCAAAATTTTTGTTTCTAAACCCTCTTTTCATTCATGCATCCAAAACATTTTTGCATACATATCTTTCTCAACTATTGATACACCTTTTCAACATTTGAAAAAGACAAAAGATAAACATATTTTGAATGAAAAACAATTTAAACTCAAACTTCATTCATGCATCAAAAACACTTTTCTTGCATATCCTTTTTCAACTTTTGATTTACAATTTTTCAACAATTTGAAAAAACAAAAGATAAACATATTTTGAATGAAGCAATAATATGACATACATAAAATTAAAACCCATATGCATAAAATCTAAAAGGACACATCATACATAAACCTTTGGCTCTGATACCACTTGAAGGGAAAATATGAGATTTATGTGGGATTTCTAGTGACTAGCATGCATATACAATTCAAAATTTATATACGAAAGCAACGGAAGCATGTCATACATTTTATCAAAGCTATAGTCATGCAAATCCCCTTCAAGATGCATAGGTTTATATAAGATGCATCAAAAACAATTTATTGAAGAACAAAGTTTAGGAGTAGTTTTATACCTCTTGATCTAGATCTAAGACCAAGGATTGACCACCTCCAAGCTCTTTGCTCCTTGAACTCCTTGAGCCTAGCCTCCCTCCTTGCCTCCTCCACTTTGTTGAGAATGAGTGCTCCTAGGTCATCTTCAAGTTTCCAAAGATATGAAAACCTCTAAAGATCCTCACCCACTTTGTAATGAGAAAGATGAAGGGATTAACCAAAGGGTGATAAGATGATTAGCTAGAATACCCTTTGGTGGCCGGCCCTTTGAAGTTTGAGAGAGAATGAGTTTTTTTTTTCTTTTGTGTATGTTATGAACTACTTAACACACTCACACACACTTTCATTATTATGTTCCTTTTATTTCTTAAAGAAACAAGTCAACAATTGACTCACTCTCTCTCCCTTCTCATTTGGCCGGCCTTTGGTGTTTGGTTTGGGCTTTGGGCTTTTAATTATTTCAAGTCATCCAATGCTTGAATAAAAGCCCAATGGGTTTTGGCCCAATGGGCCCAATTAAACCCGAACGTTTCTTTAAGCCCAAAACGATCTTTATCGCTTTTATGATTTCTTTAGACTTTCTAAATTAATCAAAACACTTAATTAATCCAATTAATTATTTCCTTCATCCATTAGTTACTCACTACAAGAGTGTATCGGTGAACAATCTTTTAGGTTCTAATTAGCAAGGCAGTGAGGTGATTGGCACCAATCCAATTGATTATCCAATCACTTAGTGATTTAAAACTTACTTTTAATTCACCTTCCTTTTAATGACTACATTTAATCATCTAGAAGAACTCACAAGCCATGAGTGACATCTAATCATATATCATGGCTACCCAAGCTAATGTAGAAGTTATTCGGAGAACCTATTCAGTTGGAATTACAATGTAATTCGATCCTTCTCTAAAACAATACTCTCAATCACAATACTAGGGTATGGATTTATAATGTCAAACCCCTAATGTGATTATTCCTTCTTATACGATTCATTTGAGACGTATAGGAACGCTTTCCTTTATTACGCTCGATACTTCGGCCGAAGATTCCCGAATCATATCTTAGAGTATTCATCCTCTCTTATCGAGGATTAGAGATTCCTTGTTGCGCATTCACTTGCCTTCATGGCTAAGTGGCTTAACCCCAACGATGCCTTGGACACTCTCGAATGGAATGACTTTAACATAATCAAAGATTAAGTACTTAACCACAAGACAACGAGATGCCTCAGGTCAAAGGATTACTTACATTATTCCAACCATTAGAGTTACTTGCTTGACATGTGAGTAGACCTCCATGCAAGTACTCTCGTTCGATTGTGTTCAGTGAACTCATTCCCTTAATGAGCACCTACATGCTTGTCTTAGTGTCACTACACGAATGGGATGAGACTTTCCATCCTTCCAATTGAAGCGGACATAGTATGTACCAATCTATGGATTGTCAGTATCCCTCCGACAATCCTTATGACCAGGAACCTTTTTGGACATGATGGTTATGAGAAGAAGGTCTCTGTAACCTAACATCATTAGGTTACTTCTTCCATCGATCCATTGTCCATGGATTCACTATTTAGGACATATTTCGTTCATTGAGATAGTCCCAATTAGTATCTTTGCCTTCCGATGTATAAGAGTCATATATACATCAATTCATTGTCCTGAAAGGTTTCTTCCAAAGATTGACTTTCAGGGCATATTTCCAACATCCTTGGCATAAGTCTCATTCATTTCATAGTGATGAATGCCTTGTCAATGCTTATGATTTTCATAAAACTTAATGACTTTTGATATGTATCTCTATCATCCGTTTCATATAGAGAACTTGAGAAAGATAATTTGATTGTAATGCATATTCATTCAATTTAATGAAATAAGGAAAATATGAGGGTTGGTTGTGCGATGCAATTACCTTAGGGCATTGTCATTCATAGTCTAAAGGAATAATAACTGGAAATTGGTTGTATGCATATATCATGTGTGGAGAAGGACCCTCTAACTAGCCTTTCACCCTTTTAATTCACCAAATTCGTTTTTACAAAGTGTGGTGAAAGGCTAGTTAGAGGGTCCTTCTTCGCACATGATATATGCATACAAACCAATTTCCAATTATTATTCCTTTAGATTATGCATGACAGTGCCCCAAGTTAATTGCATCGCACAACCAACCCTTCCTTATTTCATTGAATTGAATGAATACGCATTACAATCAAATTATCTTTCTCAAGTTCTCTATATGAAACGCATCACAAAGATACATATCAAAAGTCATTAAGTTTTATGAAAGTCATAAGCATTGACAAGGCATTCATCATTATGAAACGCATGAGACTTATGCCAAGGATTCACTTAACATGATTGTGACTAGCAACCTCCACTACTTGTGAATATGAGTGAATAAATATTACGTGAAACTCCCTTATACTTTAGCATCAAATTCATGCATGCAAATTAAGTGTTGATCCTCAACCAACATACATAAACAAGTTTTTATTACTTAGATAAGCAAATCACATTCAAGACTCAAGAAACAATAACTGGATGTAATCAATTCATATAAAACATATAATCATGGCTTTGAATTCACCTCTAACTAAAAAGAAATTAGTTCCACATGTTCATTATAATTGAAAACCAAATTAAAATAAACATCAAACTAAAACTAAGGATAGCAAGAACCTAGAAACGCTCCACACTCTAATGGCATGCACGACACTCCCTTGGATGGCAGATTGCATAAGTCCTCTTCTCCTTCCTTCCTTGCTTGCGACAATAGGGTGATGTGGTGTGAATTATGTTGTTTAATGGCTGAATGTATGAATGAATGAATGAGTGAATGGATGGATTGAATGGTACGACAAACACTTATATTTATAAGACTAGGGAATGCACAATTTCTGAAGGGAAAAGGATTGCACAATCTTAGGAGGAAAGGATTAATGCTTTCAGAAACCAAGGGGGAAAGGGATAAGGATAAGGAATACATGGCAGGGACTGGGGTTTCTAGAAGGGAATAAGTGTAACACGTATGTAAGAACATATAAGGTGTTCTAGAACCACATATCTAGGCGTTCTAATGTGAAATTAAGTCCTTTTTGCAACTGGAATTAAGGTAGCAAAAGATTAGGATAGGATAAGATAAGATAAGGTTGGACAAGGTATGGTTAGATAAGATAAGGTTGGATAATGTTCCTTATTTCTTGCTATTTCCTTGTCTTCTTTGTCTTTGAACTTGTTTCTCCAAATTTGTAGCATGTTCCTAGCCTCTCTTGACTTCAATTTCGTCCATCCACCTTGCTCCATATGCAAGCTATCCATTCCATGCCCAAAATTGCTCCAAATGGCTCCAAAATGCACTTTCTTGCTAACTTTACCATTAGGACCTACAAACACACGAAAATAGCTTAAAACACTATAATAAGTAGTAATTAGCTCACTAAATGCAAGGAAACAACATAGATAAGTAGCATAAATATGCTCCTATCAAATTCCCCCACACTTAGCTTTTGCTAGTCCTAGAGCAAAACAAAACAAACAAAACATAACCTAAACCTTCCAACAATTGCCTCAAGGATTTCCAATGCAACATGACATATTAAAGATCACCACTCACATAGATTTTAGTTATCCCTACCCTTGAGCATATACTTAACCATAGCCACCACTCACTAGCTTGCATTTAATCAATTAAAACATGATTTTGAATGTAGTAATATGCCTTAGAGAATTCCCTCAATTCCTCAGTGGATATACTCTCTATTTTCACACAGATTTTTTGACTACACTCCCTACACTAGGTATATGTGAGAAGATTGATGTAAACATGTAGACTAGTACTCACATATGTATAATCAAAGAAGGCACTTTCTGGAGTTATTAACATGTATATGTTCTCATGAATGGAATGCCACTACTTAGACGCGAGAACCAGGGATACCATATGCTTAAACCAATTTTAAACTCCACATATTGAAACACATAACAATCAAGATAGAAGTCAAAGGGTTGTAACGAGGCTAGGGTATTGGCTGACAAAAGTTCTTAAAGCAATAGTAAGCAAAATAATGAAATAAGCACTTAGAATTCACTTTTGAATGCAGAAATCAACTCTAAACATGAAGGGAAACTTCACACAACACTTAGGGCCAGATTCAAACTTTTGGACCCTTTCCTCAACAACCAACGCTTGTGGTGGGTTCATTCTCACTTTTTTTCAACTCTTTTTCTTTGTTTTCCTCAACTTTTTCTTCTTTTTTTCTTTGTTTTTCACGTTTTTTTCTTTTATTTTCTTTTTTTTTTCCGTGCCCTTTTCTTTCTTTTGGCACACTAAATACAACTTCATAGATTTTAAAACGAAAAACCCTTTCCCCCACACTTGTTTTTCTGCAAATTGTAAATCAAAAGGAATTCCCTCTAAGTCATGCTCCACTATACTTTAAGAACAAGGGTACGGATAGTCCTATTCTAGGCTAGGTAAGGTTAGTGTGGCTAACAAAGACAAATACGCTAACTAAGGCTCAAAGGGGTTAAACCTACAATACATATGCAAAGGGTAAGGCTTTTTGGCTCTGGTTTAAAGTACGCAACTTCATCTTATTGTATGTTATGCACTCAATTTTATGCTTTGAATGAAATGGGCACGAGTTCTAGTATTTGGAACTATAGTGATGAAACGCATTCTAAGTATCAACCAAGCAAAGAATAATGAGATCAAGCAACGACTTTAGAAAACAAAAACATCAAGATTAATAACTCTCCAAATAAAGTATGGGCTTAAGTCTCTCGAGGTTGTAGCGTTAGTTTGAGTTCTTTCCTTCAAGCATGTTACAAAAATTGATTTTTTTTCCTTTGTGATTACATGTGAATTCATAAATGTCAACTACAACTAAGCATAAACCAAAGAGCATATCAAACTGCCACCCCTGTTTGTAACTTTCTTTAATAGTCATGCAATTAAAAATCAAATCCTCATCATTGTGTTGGAAGGTATCCTAAGACACAAACAAACATAAAACAAAAACGACTCTTTTTTTGGGTTTTTTAAACGCTC